AGCCTGGGGGGGGGGGGGTAAGGGGGCGAGATCAACCAAAGGACTTGTATGCATGCATATAAGCATAACCAATGGACACAGACACTAGAGGAGTGAGGGCACGAGCGGAGGGGTGGCAGGGCAATGGGGGGATAAGGACATACCTTAATCAATAAAGAAAAAAAATCTGCAAATAAAAAACAAATTATCCTGCTATATTTGGTCAAACATTTCATTAACTCACCCCTAATGCCTTGGCAGGGCCAGACCAAATGATTTCAAGGGCCTTATGTGCCTGGGGCCAGACATTCCCCACCCCTGCTCTAGGGGGAAAATTCATTCCTTGCCTTTTATCCCTTCTGGCCGCTGACAGCATTCCTGGGCTGGTGGCTGCATCACTCAATCTCTGTCTTAATGGCCACATTGCCTCTACTTTTCCTTTATCATTTCAATAGGGTCCCAACCAGATAATCCAGGAAAATTTCCCTATCTCAAGATGCTTAACTTAATCACATCTGCGAAGACCCTTTTTCTGCCATATACAGTAATCTTGATAGATTCCAGGGACTAGGATATGGGTATCTTTGGGGGAGCCATTTTTTTCAGCTTGCTTCAGTATCTTTCTGAGATTTCTAAGACCTGGAAAAAATTAAATTGCTTAGATTAAGTACCAAACATTTTTTAGAATTGCTTATGATAAGCTACTTAGGATTCATTAGGCTAAAATGAAATATGGTACATTAAAAATGGAGAACTGTTATAGCACAGTGCCAGAACTAATGATTTGAATAAAAACACATGAAAAGGAAGTGAGGAAATAAGCAGGAACTTATATGATGACTAGACCTTCCCATGAAAAATGAAGGAGATAGTTAAGAAAAGTATTCAGCTAATCCAAGACTGCGTGGTGGGGTGCAGAGATGGGGTGAGGTTGGTGAGGAGGAAAAACAATTTTACAAACCTATAAAATTGTGTGCCAGCCATAGCCGGTTTGGCTCAGTGGATAGAGTGTCAGCCTGCGGACTGAGGGGTCCCAGGTTCGGTTCCGGTCAAGGGCATGTACCTTGGTTGCGGGCACATCTCCAGTGGAGGGTGTGCAGGAGGCGGCTGATCGATGTTTCTCTCTCATCGATGTTTCTGACTCTCTATCCCTCTTCCTTCCTCTCTGTAAAAAATCAATAAAATATATTTTTAAAAAATAATAAATATAAAATAAAAAAATTGTGTGCCAGACCTTTAAGGGTTTCCATAATTCATGCCCACTCTATTTGTCCAACCTTATTTCCTATCATTCTCCAGCATATGCCCAGAGTGGGTATAGTTAGACTAGGAAACCATTCTTTAAAATCTAGAAGTTAGCCCTGGCCAGCGTGCTCAGTGGTTAGAGCAGTGGCCCTCACACCATAGCATTGAGGGTTCGATTCCCAATCAAGGGCACATACTTGGGTTGCAGGTTCAATCTCCAGCCCCACTTGGGGGACATGGGGGAGGCAACCAATCCGTGTGTCTCTGTCATTCTCATGTTTATGTTTCTGTCTCTCTGTCTCTCCTTTCTCTCCCTCTCTCCCATCTACTCTCTCTAAATATCAATGGAAAAAATATCCTTGGGTGAGGATTAACAACAAAAACAAAAAATCTGGAAGTTAAACCAGGAAAAAAAATTACATCTTTCACTTGTGTCCTAATTTCCAGCATCACTAAACAGACAGCAGTGTTGAGTTCAGGGTAAAGTAAGACCAGCTTTGGTGTAGACCAAGCATGTCAAACTCATGGCCCGCGGGCCGTATGTGGCCCACAATGAATATTTTTGCAGCCCAGCCAATATAACGGTATATAAGAAACGTTTTAATAAAAATTTCGTAACTTAATTTTTACAATATCCTGTTATACATAATTATTAATCTCGAACTACAACTTTCGCTAATAACTAATTACTATAATCGTGTTGCATTCATTTCCCTTACGCTCTTTATGCACAGGCGCACCATTTCTCTCCACTAATACTAGCAGTGAATATTTTAGCAGCCGATTACCTTGTCATTAGTCTTGTACTGACTTGTTTGGTGTGCGCAACAGGAAATATTTCGCTTTCGGAGAACAAGAAAAACAGGTTCATTTGCGTTATGCTTATTAATTTGTGCACTTATTCAGTATCTGGTAAGTTAATGTTCAAGAAAAAATATTAATTTTTATTAAAATATTCTATTATTTTATGTTAATGATTACTCATTTATTTCAACCCTTTGTGTTCAGCATGTCTCTATCGAAATAAACGTACATTCCTATGAAAATTGAAGCTTTTGCTTTTTTGCAGCCCACATAAACTTAAACCTTATTTATTTGCCCTGTGTTAGCCTTTGAGTTTGACATGCATGGTGTAGACTAGCCGTGGGCAAACTACGGCCGGCAGGCTGGATCCGGCTCGTTTGAAATGAATAAAACTAAAAAAAAAAAAAAAAAAAAAAAAAAAACCGTACCCTTTTATGTAATGATGTTTACTTTGAATTAATATTAGTTCACACAAACACTCCATCCATGCTTTTGTTCCGGCCCTCCGGTCCAGTTTAAGAACCCATTGTGGCCCTCGAGTCAAAAAGTTTGCCCACCCCTGGTCCACACCTTGGGGAACCCCTGGACCTGCTGGGGTTGGACCCAACAATTTATTATACATTCAATTATAATAATAAAGGGACGTGCTTGCCAAAAGCGGTTTGGCTCAGTGGATAGAGCGTCGGCCTGCGGACTGAAGGGTCCCAGGTTCGATTCCGGTCAAGGGCATGTACCTGGGTTGCGGGCACATCCCCAGTAGGAGATGTGCAGGAGGCAGCTGATCGATGTTTCTAACTCTCTATCTCTCTCCCTTCCTCTCTGTAAAAAATCAATAAAATATATTTTAAAAAATAAAATAAAATAAAGGCACGTGCCTAAATAAATCTTATTCCAATAATCATTACACATTTGCTTGGGAACAATTCAATATTTTCCCTCTCATAGTATACTTACTGTACAAAAGTGATGTTTCCAATTTTTTGTTTGGGGGGTTTTGT